TTGGTACAAAAGTCTGATTGGTTTTGGGGAGGGTATCTCAATGAGACGAAGACAGGTATAGTCACATTACTGAAAGAACTTGTCTGCAGTCATCCCCTGATTACAGAGAGATGTTGAAATATGTTTTGCTTGGCATAATCCTGGCCATCTGTGAACTGGAACCCAGGCGCAATCCTTTTTTTTTTTTACTTAACCCTCATATAGCCGAGAATACCCTCAGGTGCATTTTTACATATGGTAGCATTGAGTCAGTTTTTGACTCAATAATAACAGCAATGTAATGTTGGAAAACAAATGGGCTCATGCCATTCACATAGCACCTTACTTACTGTGGTAGATATATAATCGTTTTTCAGTTTGAGGATTAAGAGTGTAGGGGTGGAGTCTAGCTTGTCAATCAGATCATAGCCAATGAGGACTCTGTGTGGGCCTGGCCTCCTGAGAATTCTGGGAAATCCAGTACTTCCTCCTTGAAGGCAGGAGACACTTCTCTCTCTCTCTCGCAGCTCACACCCTGGGAGAGATACCGTGTTTCCCCAAAAGTAAGACATCCCCAGAAAGTAAGACCTACTTACAGTTTTGCCTCTCGCTGAAATATAAAAGCATACCCCCCCAAAAAGGCCTCCCCCAAAATAAGGCCTCCCCGATAATAAGGCCCCCCGAAGCTACCGTAACTCTGGACTCTGGACCATAGCGGCTGGCGGCGCCGCGCAGCTCACTGTTGGCCGCAGCGCCCAGAGCAGACAGGAAGTGTGAGGTCTCTCTTAATCAGAGAGCCAGCTGCTGCCTGCTGCTTGTTCTGCCTGGACAGAGTCTGGCTGACTCACAATTAGACAGTGAGTCGCGGGGGGCAGGAGTAACCAGAAATTCTTGATACTGTAGGATTCACAGTTTGTCCGGTTATGCTGGTTTGTGATGACGACTACTACCGTACCATACACAGGTAATACATTTCCTTTTTTGTTGTCTAACAATAAATGTGTACCGTATTCTTAATGGAAAAATAAGACATCCCCTGAAAATAAGACCTAGCACATCTTTGGGAGCAAAAAATAATGTAAGACACTGTCTGATTTTCGGGGAAACAGGGTAGCAGCTGACAAGACACATAGACCCACCCTGATACAGAGACCCCTGCAGCGCTGAGATGTTTCCAATGACCCTGGATCCAAAGACTTTCTACCCACTGGCCTGTGATCTTCTACATTCGGCATCATTGCATGTGTTTCATGAGTCTGAAGAGGACTTTATAGATTGCTGTAGGACATATGGGCTAGTACCGGACTTATGGATTTGATTCTGGACTGTTTTCTCAATGTTCAATTGCTCTTGTTTATAAATATCTTATACACATGTGTGTCCATGGATTTGTTTCTCTAGTCTACCCAGACTAATACACTTATTCTCATGCCAACTCTCTTCTCCAGCTCACTCCATCATGCCAGTTCGTACAACTGCTTTTCAAAGCATACAAATATTGTATGCTTTACAGAAGAGATCACTGTAGAGGCAGATAGCTATTGATTGGAGTCAACTAACACATCAGTCCAATTTAAATTTACCTCCTCAGAGAATCCTTCTTTGATGACTTTACTTTGATTTTCACCAATCCTCTCCTCTGATTCATTTCAATAGCTTTACTTGCTATTTCCGTGTAAAATGCGGCCCTGCCCACAAACCTCTTCTTTCGTCTTCGATTCAAGCTCTCTTGGTTGCAAAGGACAAGCCCCTAGTTTTGTAAGAATGCTCATGAACTTTGGAAAGTTCAACCACTGAAGCACCTTTAGAGACTGGTAGCTTGCTTTTCTCTGTGTACCTGCCAGTCTTTCCACTCTCAGGATCAGGTTCCTCACTTTCTACTAACGCTTCTGTTCTCTCACAGTCTGGCTTTCATCTGTTCATTAGTTCATGCAACAGATGTTCAACAGATGTTCATTAGTTCATTCAACAGACAACATGCCACACGTAGACCTATCACATACGGTTTGGGCTTGCTGTAATCCTCACTCAAAACTATAGTGTATTAGGCAAGGTTCTCTAGAGAAACAAATTCAGGACACGTAGGATTATATTTCTATATAAAATCATAGGTTTATATAGCCATAAGGAATATAACAGCTAATTAGTCCACATAGCAGTACAGAGGGCTCAGTTCTACTCACTTTGATGGAACAGTTAATATACTGAAGGTCCTTCAACTCAGGCTGCTTGGTCTAAGGTCATGAGAGCTGGTCCAAAGTCAAGGAAGCTGGTCCAAGGTCAAGGAAGCAGATTGCAGAGTCTACCCTCAGGGAAGACAGGGAGGGTGAGGCAGCAACAGCAGGAAGTCAAGAAGTTGAAAAGTAGCAGGGTGCTTAGTGAAGCAGTCCCGATGGAGCCTCAAGAACCATGGCAAAGCAGGTCTCAATGGAACCACAAGCCCTAGTGAGGTGCCATGCACACATGGCAAGGCAGTATGATCCATAGTAGTGCAGCACACAGTTGACACAAAGGACTAGCTCAGGCAGCAGAGCATTGGTCTGATCACCAGGGATAAAGAGGGAAGGGTCTGGCCTTGGAAAGTCATTTATCTCATTGTCCTTCAATCCAGCTGTGACCTGATTAAACCCCGCCCACATATTCCTTTGGAAGCCTAGTTGGCACAAGAAACCTATCACAAATAGCTCCACTAATTAAATTCTTCTCATGTTGCTTAGTTCAAATTCCTCATAAGAGAGAAGCTGACGGATTCAGTTTATGCTGGACCCTACATAGGTTGCTTGAAGGCCGATGGCCCATTTCCTGCTCGTCAGGAAGGTGTGGCTATTCAAGGAAGGATGGAGGGTTGTAGACAGGACAGCCCTTCACGACCTAGGCCATAAACATTCTCTGGTCTTACATGTTACTGGTGTTATCTCTCTAACTATAATCTGCACACAGTAAGTGTTCAGGAACAAAACCCCTAGGGCTCATCTCTTCTTTCACTGGAGCTGGACTAAGAATCACAATCTTTGCAAAAAAAGCCAAGGCAGTTGTACTCAGTCGATTCAGACTCACAATGGCCCTATGCAGGACAGAACTCTGCTTCGCAATGTTTTCAGTGGATCACTTTTTGGAAATATATTCCTAGGCCTTTCTTCTGAGGTGCCTGTGTGCAGACTTGAACCATCAACTTGAGGTGAACAGGGAGCATGTTAACCATTTGTACTACCCAGGGTTTCCCTCTCAAAGAAAGCACAACTAGCTTCCAGAGTGTTTTACGTGGTAGAAAATGGCAGGTCACAGCATACAATGGTAAGCCTTGGGGTTTAAAGATAAAAGTGAATCAAGAGCAAGAGGAAAATTATTGGCTACAGCAAGCACAGGGCAAGCCAACTAAGGGGGCAAACAGATGGAAGGGATGGGCACTATGTCTGTGCACCCAATCCTCTCCTCAGCCCTGCTCCATTCGTTTTAGCTGAGCGTCTCTCCTAGAGTCTTACCTCTATGGTTCCCAGTTGGCTTCCCTACTTTCAGGTTAGTGCGTGGGCCATTCTTCCTTCATACCAACACTTTTTCTAAATGATCAAGTCATTCTCAGGACAGAAAGGACACACCACACCCCTGGCCCCCTCCCTGATACAAGTGCCCAAACCATAAGGGAACACATATAATCTGACTACCCTGTTCCTGTCACATCACCCTTTCTGATTTCCTGTATTGCCACCCCACCCTTTCTTCTCTCAATGCACATTAACAGTCTCGCCTCCGAGCCTTGGGCAATATTCTTTTTCTCTCCCTGTAATGTCTCTGAACCCCCAACATCCCCATCTGTCCTCTACACCCTTATCTTTCCCTCCCCTTCCCACAGTCCAAAGGTGAAGTTCTCCGCTGCGGTGTTATCACAGCCTTTAGTTTATACGTCTAACCTTAGTCACTATTTGTTGTACAGTGGTTTGCTTCCTCCCTTGGACTGTGAGCATTTTCACGGGAAGGGACTTTCTGTCTCTTCTGACTCGTTTCCATACCCTAGTAAAGTCCTCAAAACCATTTTTTGAAGGAGAAATGTCCACAAAGGCCACCATTGTCTTTTCAGTGTTTCATGTGTTTTTGCACAAGACACTGAGAGCTCTACTGCGTCGATTCTGTAACTGGCTTTCGATGTCACCCTGTTCATTTCCTGACTAGCGACTTACAGCTAGCGCTCTTCTGGGTTAAACAGCACTTCATTTGCAAGGTAGCTTATAAGATTTTTAAATACCAGGAAGAATTTCACTTTGAAGACAAAGGAAGGGTAGTTCTCCAAGAGGAAAACTAAGGCGTCGGAGACCCTCTTTGTCTGAGTTTGTTTACCTTATGAAAATAAAGATCAGATGAAATCCACTCTTCTTTTTAACCCTAAAATAACATTATCCCAGTGATTCTGCATAATTAGCATTGAGTATACATACGTATTCATTGTTGCTAACAACGGAAAAGTGGGTGAGGATCAACAGGATGATGTAAGAAATGAAAATAATAATCTATGACTTGTCGAGGATTCGTGAGGGAGGACAGAAGAGGGAGGGGGAAGAAATGGGGAGCTGATATCAGGGGCTCAAGGGGGAAGAGAATGCTTTGAAAATGATGATGGCAGCATATGTGCAAATGTGCCTGACACACTGGATGAATGTATGGATTGTGATAAGAGATGTAAGAGTCCCTGATAAAAGTATTTTTAAAATAGAAATACAATAAAAAATTGTCTATACTAATGCTGGAAAGCATGCTATCAAGTTTATTTCTTCTTTTTTTCTACTTCTAATAATGGGTGTGCAAATACATTAAGTGAACGCTTCTGCAATCGCTCTGTTTCTTTAAGAGATCATGGCTGTTAGGTTAGAAGATCATTGAACCATATGAGGGTCAATAAAAGAATAAAAAGTCCCTGGTTAGTGATCTGAGTACGAGGAACTTGATCCTAGTTCCACATCTTTGTGTCCACATGTTGCTGACAACCAAGGGGGGAGCATTTTGTCCTCGGCAGCCTGCCTTCGCCCGTGATGGCTTCTGGAAGACTGATTAAGCTTGTGGTTTTTGAGCTTCTTGAGTTGGCTGCTTTCGCCATCCCCACGCTGGTGATAATGGAGCAGTTTGCCACCGCTTATCAAAAGACAAGGATGGTAGCAGAGAAAACGCACTATTGGCTTATTGTTTCTGGTTCAATCGCCTATGTGGCCTCGGTGACTCTGTTGATCTGGGTTCCTGTAAAAGTTCTCCTATACAAGAAACATCATCTCCGCAAAAAAGTTAAAGGGTGGTAAGTAAAGACAGGAGTCCTGGGGACACAGGGGTAACACTCTAGGCTCTTCACCGAGACAGCAGTGGGTGGACCCCACCTGCTGCTCTACGGGAGAGCAATGTGGCAGGCCGTCTGGGGAACCCTTTGGGGTAGCCCTGCTCTGTCCGATGAATTGGGGTCAACTCAATGGTAGTGGGTTTAGGTTGCTGTGATATGGGGTTTAAGGGAATGAATTTTTGGGGAAAGAATATGTGTGTGCAGGGAATCCCTGGGGTGCTTTCACAGATGTGCCAAAGTACTACTTACACGTAAGAAGTTCACACAGAAGAAGTGTACATTGGGTGAGATTCATGGGACATAGTAATCACTGTTCCTATTGATGTGTTGATGGTGTGGTATCCTTTTGTACATATGCTGGCGTCATGTTTTAAAAGTGTAGAAATAAATTACCTGTGTTAATAAGACTAGAGTTTAGCAAGAATCTGTGATACTTTGAGTAGTGAATGTGGGGCCTAATTCTTCTATACTGCGAACTAAGCTACATCAAGCTATCGTAGTTAATTTAAAAAATCATAATCTCAAGATTTTAGCATGGAATTTTACTTCTACATATAACTGAAAGCTGTGTCTGTTTTTAAATGTTTCCAATGACAGTTCTTTGCTGGTCTAAAGCACACTTTGACCATCCACCCACTGAGATGTTTATGCTTCTGATTCCTGTGCTTAGATGTTACATAATGCTTTAATATGTTGGTAAATTCTATACCCTTGAGGGGGGAATAATTCAATGATAAGATAGAAATACATTAAATAAACCAAGATTTAATGTTGATTTAATCAACAATTCAGCTGATAACTGTGTAGATCCACATGAAGGTATTGAGAACAAATCATCTCTGATACATTAGTGAATATCTTTTGAGATGTTCAAAGTTACCTCTAACTAATCTAGAATTTCATTTGCATGTTAACTCTTCTTTTGCGCTGGTCTTTCAATGTTGAACAACACAGGACATATCGATAAGCAGGGAACTGGGAATTGGACATAAGCCGACACCAAACTCACTACCATGGAGTCAATGTCGACTCTAGAAAAGTAGATAGGAAGAACAATACACCTAGACATATGGGTGGGAGAAAGACAGAGGCAAGACCTAAAGTGTGGCATTCATGAAGTGCTCTGTAGGTACTGATACCAGATGTGCCCTCAACCCCACACCACCACCCTCATCCTTGGCAGGGGACTTGCAGTTCCTCATTGGCTAAGCTCCTGATGGGTTCCCTGAAGAAATGGTTTTGTGGTAAGCTACAGGATTTAGGGGCTTTGTAAACTTTAACTCAGAGCCCAGGGACTCCCTGAACTGTAGAGTTGGAGTTAGGTTGAGAGCCTTCTATCCCTCACAGCCCCACATGTTATTTTGACTGAAATGCCTGGTTGAGCAGGATGTTGTAAAGGAATGAGGAAAAGTCCAATAGCACAGGATAAAGCAAAGGGAAGCTGGCTCGCCGAGGCCAAGAAAGCACTCCAGGGTTGGCTATTACTTTGCCTCAAATCCCTAGGATCCTTGGTTCCCAATGTCATTCAGGCAGCAAACCTTCCCATATTCATTCCTCAACGTCTTCTTGAGTTACAATAGCTTCTTCCTCGATCACTTATCAGGTGCCATTAACTGTATTTATGAATTCCATTTTATTCTAAATCACGTTTTGAAGTAAGTGTTTTCAGGAGTGTGTATCATTGTTCCTGAAAGACAACTAATGACTAGAGGAGTCAGTCAACTTGTGCACGAAAGAGCCAGGGATTAGATGCAGGTCTATGTAACTCCAGATTTTGGTATCTAACTACTACGACTCTAAGCTGCTTCTTTGAAAGATAAGAATCCTAATCATCGAAGAAGGGGGGTTGAAATTAAGAGAGTCACTTTTAAGTGGGGCAATGTTTTAAATATTGGTCTGCTAACTGCAAGATGAGGCTTTCTGCTCCAATAACAATGGACAGTCTCAGACATCCCAGGGAGCAGTTCGATTGTGTTCTTTCGTGTCGCCCGTTGGATCAGAAATAACTAAAGCAGCAGGTTCGGGTTGTTGGCTTGTTATTGTTTCTCCATGCACATCAGACACCTGGCGTCTGCTCAGACCTCCTCATCCTCTGCTCAAGGCATGTCCTCAGTGCTGAGGTACGTGGGCTGCCACGGGCTCTCTTCAGGCCTTCACTTTCTCTGTGGGTGTGGCTGGCCGCTCACCAGGTTTTACAGATGACCGCCTAGCTCTAATTTCATCGAAACCATGACACTATTTCCTCATGACCTCCTTCCTGATCTCAATCAGAGTGCTATCGTTTCATAGCGTAGCAAGGGCCAAACAGCTCCTGAGCACTCTGCTGAGAGCTTTACACCTCTGTAGACGACATTTGTACTTTGCAGTAAACCAGTGAGCTAGCTGCGGGGGTTCCTCATTTTATACACAGTTAAACAAAGAAGGATGAACTTTGTCACACAATGAAACTATGACTCAGTGCAGCTGGGATTTGCTGAACCCAGAGCTCTCTGGCTCTATGCTCATTCCACTATCTTGTGCCACTCTTCCTTTGTCCTTTGAACATTGAACTGCTGGTGTGTTTCAAGAAATGCACAAATATCTTTTGTACATGAAGATATTTGGACATCAGGACATGTTTTCCTGAAAGATGTGTGTGTATCTATACAGACAGATATACACACAAGATACACACACATACACATGTGTATGTATACATGTATATATACCTATATCTATTCAAATATCTTGGACTTTGTTTCTTAATCTCAATGTGACAATGTTGCAAAAATAATTGCTGCTGTAGAGCATGTGCATTGAAAGTATGAATTACTTTAAAAGAATGCTTAAATAAAATAGTTGATTGCAGCACATTCTATAGGTCCTTGGCATTTACCGATGGAATGCTGGCATCAGGAGCCAGTGCCATGAGGCTGATACTCAGGATGTAGTGAGCCATATTCTGGCAAAGGGCAGAGGGTGTGCCTCAGTTCTGCCGCTTTGAGGGAGCAGACCTGGATTCCAGTTTCAACTCTGACACCGACTATGAGGCCTCCGTGAAATATTTGAAATCTCCAAACTTTAGGGCTTTTTTTTTCATGTCCCAAACAGAGATAACAGAACGTTCTTAGAGCATTGTTTTGAGAAATTGAATAAGATTGCACATCTGAAATCCCTTGCTTAATGCCTACTGTACAGTTGCTGTTAGAGGCTGGTGAGTTGGCCCTGACTTATGGGAACCCCATGTACAACAGAAGGGAACAGGGAATATCACTTAGCCCTGTGCTGTCTTCGTGGCCATCGGTCTGCTCAGGTTCATTGTTGAAAGCAATATGCATTTTGAGTTCCTGTCACCCTCAGGGGTTAGGCTAGATGCTGCTGTGATCCAGAGGGGTTTTGCTGGCTGCTTTTCAGAAGTGAGTGATCATTGCTTCTTAGTCCCTCTTAGTTTGGAAGCTCCCTAGAAGCCTGTCTCCCATGAGTGACACCGTGAGTGGCATTATTTCCTGCATCATAGTAACATGCAAACCACCACAGGATGATACGCTGAACGTCTCTAGGTGGTGAGATACAGCAAACATCTGTAGTATTGCCTCAGGCTGAAATTAATTAGTTCCACTTAAAATCTGATCATATTTAATCCTGTGAATGATACTAAGGTGTGGTAGAAGTAGATTGTAAACTGAAAAACGTCTATAACTACTATTCCTGGACTTTGGAGATTTCTTGAGATCTCTTTTGTCCCTTGAGATCAATAACTGCCGAGTAATGAAAGTATTAACTAGTCTGGTATTTTCATGTTCCACAGTTATTTTATTTCATCTTCTTATTTGAGGGTTGTAAGGCTGACCAGCATAAGCCAGGCTCATCTTATAAGGGACGGAACCATCTCAGGAAGCTCAAGACACACACTAAGTCAGTGGTAGAATCAGAACTCTGCTTCTGTGCTCTTTAGGCTTGTTAAACATCCTTGTTTTTATTCAATGCGTTCATCTTTAACTTTCAGTTGTGGATTTGGGGAAGGTTCACAGAGCGATCACCAGTGTGATACTCAACAATCCATACACATTTTGTTGCAACTCATCCATTGCCAGCCCTTCAAGATGTCGTCCATCACTCATCCCACTTCCTCCCTGTGGTTCCTGTTTCTCTTCCCCCTTCTTTCCTAACCCTCTGAACCTCGACATTGGGGACAGAATGTCCCTTTAGCTTGAAGATAGTCTGTTGAACATTTGAAGTGAGTTCAGTTCCAGACCTGAAGGACATAGACTTGGGGACCCCACCCGTCTCTATCTGACCAGTGAGCTTGAGCTCTTCGATGATTTTGAGTTTTCTCTTTCATCTTTTCCCCATTCTGTCTAGCACTTTCTACTGGGGTCCCTTTCAGAGAAGCTGGCCCTGGTATCTGGACACCATCTAGCTCTGGTCTCAGGGTTCCGACCACAGCTAATTGTTTCCATATGCCTTTCAATTTTTATCACTTCCCTTTCCTCTGGATGGAGAGAAACTAATGGTTGCACCTTAGACGGCTGCTCATAGTCTTTTAAGATCCCAACCACTACTCACCTATGTAGGATGTAGCACATGGTCACAGGCTCAGTTTTCAGAATTCCTTTCTTAAAAGGATGCCTGTCATAATTTGTCATAGAACAGGAAGACATTCCAGTCCCGTGAAGAATGAAGGCAATCTATATACCTACCCATCCCTGGTATATTCCAGGGAATGAGAGAAATCCTTTCCAAGATTATCAGGAAAGGAGGGAACCACTGAGCTACAAGACTAGGCAAGGAGAGGGCTCATAGGGTTTGCAGACTACCTTGGGGGCCAAGACTAGATTTCCAGAATTCTCTTGAGTTCTGCAGAGCACAGTGACCTCAGACCAGGTCAGGAATCCAGGGCGGTGCAACGTTGGAAAGACTACGTTGGAAAGAAAGTAGTTGGGGTCCCATTTTGTTTTGCTGAAGTCTTTGTGACAGTCAATAAGACGTTGAGAGTGATCTTTTAATTAATGATGGAGGTAATAGCAGCTGTAGTAGAAGAAAATATTTAGTGAACAATTACAATGCACAAATATAGCTAGAAACGCATGGTATTTTTGTAATTTCCTATATACATGTTCTAGGATTTCTGGGACAAAGTACCACCTCCTGGCTGGTTTATAAGAACCGAAATGTGTTTTCTTAAAATTCCAGAGGCTAGAAATCAGCAACCTAGGTAGCAACAGAGAGTCATTCGTCTCTCTGAATGCTGTAGGGGAGAATGTGTTCCAGATGTTTCTCTTCACCTGGCAATCCTTGGCTTGTTGATATGGGCCTCCACACTCTGTCTCCAGGTATGCTTCTTCTTCTCCAGCCATCAGTCCTACTGGACCAGCAGCCGCCCTACTACTGTGTGAGCCCATGCTAACCAATGATAGCGGTGAACACTGTTTTCAAATTAGATAACATTCCCCTGATACAGGAGACTCTACGGAGAATTAGGAGTGCACAATTCAACCCGTCACACTCTTAACGCTTATAGATGAGAGGGATTATAATCCCAATTTTATACTTGAGCCAAGAGGTGCGCAGAAAGGCTAGAAGATGACACAGTCAGTAAGCATCGCAGCCATCACGGGTCCGGAGGCATCTGCCTCCAGAGCCTGCGCTCTTCCCTGCCGTACTGCCCCCAGAAGCAAGCCCAGTGAAGCACAAGGCACCACGGACGTTTATGCCCCTGTGGAAAGACTGGTTCACAATGAAGGAAATAGAGCTGACGCCCCTGAGGAGACCTGTGAGAAAGCTGTCACGGATTCACGGTGGCTAAATGCCCGTCTCTGCTTCACCTGCTTTCCCAAAGCACTTTCTTTCTTTCTGATGTTTCTGCAGGTCTGCAATATCTCTGCTGTTTTTTGACCACAGCCTCATTCGTTCTTCCATGCCCTGCCATATCCAGTCCACCAGCAAGCACATGTTGACTTTTGCTTTTCTCTCCGTGCTATATGCCACATCATCAGGTTCCATTTATTCTTCCTTTTTCATATCTCTTGCATCAGCTTCTCGTGTTCTATGACTCTCTTCTTTTTCCAATCCCCAAACCAAAAACTCATTGCCTTTGAGTTGATTCTGACTCACAGTGGCCCTTGATAGAGTTTCCGAGACTGTCAATCTTGACCACAGCAGGTGACCTCTTTCTCCCTTGGAGCACTGGTGGGTTTGAACCCTTGACCTTGACACACTGGTGTAACAGCACACCAAGGATTTGTTTCTTATTCCAATTAGGTCCTTATTTTTAAGGGGACCATGCCCTTGAGTTTTGGGGCGTATTTCCACATTTTCCATAAATTCCGATCCAATGTCAGATCATTGGTCTTGTTGCTCAGGGAAACATGAAGACCATTCTATTAGCTAATCAGGGACTGTGGCCACCCTTACCAACTGGTATCCTTACCTCTGCTGCGTCTCTTACCCTTATCTCATCCCAGACCTTGGTGACAGCATCATCTACTCTTCTCTTTGCTTGAAGAAATAATGTGTGGCAGTATGTCACTGTCCCACAGGCTTTTAAAGCTGGAGGGAATCTTGAGAGTTTATCTCCATGAAATATGTCTCCTAATCCAAACTGTCTGCTTCTGATGTTATAGGCCATTCGCTTCTTGGCAAGTCTCTAATTCTTAGAACCGTATTGCTAATGTCCTTGTGTTGAAATCAGACCAGCTGCCCTGGAACTACTTGTTTCCAAATCTCTGTCACCCTTCACATCCTCTGTGCTCGGTTGATTTGAATGTTTTAAAGTTCTATTGGCATTTCACCCACATAGCATATAATTCCATATCAAGAAGAGTTGCCTAGTCTTTACCACAATCAGTTTGAGAACATTTTCTTTTCTCCATAGTCGTTGTTATTCATGCTTTTTTTTTTTTCTTCAATTTTGGCAAAAAATATACGCAACAAAACATTCTCCAATCCAAGAAGTCTTACATGTATAATTCAATGCCATTGATGACACTCTTCACTCTGCCCTCTTTCTGAAACCCACGGTCATGCAGTCCAGTCTGACTCCTAGCAATGCAATGAAGCCGAGTAGAACTGCTCCCTAGGGTTCTGAGGCTGTCAGTCTCGAGGGGAGCAGATACGCCTCCTCTTTCGCCCATGGTCTGAACTACCACCCATGGACCTGGCAGTTAGCTGCCCAATGTATAACCCACTCCGCCACCAGGGCTCCTTCCCCTGTTTATACGCTGATGAATCTGACCATACCTAGGAGTTCTCCCTAATAGGCCCCCCTCCCCCGCCCCTTTCCTCATTTGCATTGCTCTTGGAATACTCTTATCTGCTTTCATAATATAACACTTGCCACTCCTATGATGACGACTCCCAAACTCTATCTCCAGGGGTGACTCCCCTTGTGAATTAACTGTAAAACACGCAAGCTTTGCGACTCTGAAGGAGGCCCTACCGCTCTACCATTTCGTCTACTTCCAAACTGATCTGCGAAGCCTTTTCCAGTACCCAGCGTTACATCAGTCCAATCCTGATTGTCTCATGGTTCCCGGACCGCTGACTCTTTTGAGTTTTTTTGGAATGCTTCCTGACTTGTCAATGTCTGCCTATGACATTGACGGGCAGCTCAGGACTACAATGACCACGATGTCACTGTCGTTTCAGAAGCCAGTTGCAGTTGACGAAAATGTCTGGAAATACTCCCTATGCAGGGGCTTCCCCATGTTGAACTTGAGCAACTGCCGAGAGCCTCTACGTGCCTTAAAACCAGATCATGCCCTACACGTAGCGCACGCACTGAATAGCAATTAGATGAACGCACGAATGGACGTACTTTATGTCTAAAACTGAATCCAATAATTTACTCTTATTCCTACTGAGTATCATTATATTGGCTTTACCCACTTGCAAGTCAATTGAAGCATGTTAAACGGTGAATCTTTTGTTAGAAGTGTTGCCTGCCCTTTTGGATTTTGTATCACCTGCAAATGAAGTGAGCCTATCATCTTCTACTTTGTAGTCACTAGTAAGTGTGTCAAACAAGTTCATTTGACTAGAAATG